TATGTCAAACAGGGCTTGCAGTATAAATGAGTGCACTGTGACTGCAATGCTTCATTTGGGTAGACAAGCAGACGACAAACTGGACAAAAGTACTCTCCGGCAAGAGATTGGATATTCAATATGCACTCATTATCAAATCCCATGCTGCCCTGCAAGCTCAGCTTCAAGTCCTAGTGCATAAATTTTATCAACCTGAATGAGTGCAAAAATTGTGAGCCCCTTTGTGAGCATAAAGAAACAAACTTTCTTCCATCAACATTTATGACACATTGGCTTCATTGCAACACATCTTCTTATTTTTCTTCGAAGCAACAGGTAAAGGGCCTCACTCAGTTCAAAATCATACAAACAATCCTCAGAAGAAGAAAATGACCCAACGCATAAACGCAATTACCCATTTTCACAAACCAAACAAGAAAGCAGGGAGGCACAGAATGATATGCAAGTGAATATTCAGACATGCAAATCCAGTGCGTACCCAATCACTCCATTAGGCATTTAGTAATAATCAGCAAAATGGCATCGAAAAGAAAAACCCAAACTGTCCTATGCGTACCAAAAAATCCAGACCGAAAAAGATCAATCAAAATCCGTGTTTTTGTGCGTTTACAGATTTAGATGAGTGCGGTTTCGACTTTCATAAGCCTGAAGTTATTGAATTTAAGTATCGTATATTTAAATTTTAAAAAAAAAACATAAAACTTTCCTTCCCAAATCCCCAATTCCCACACTTTCTCAGCAGCCAAACATTACACTAGGTAAACCAAAACAGACATAATTTTGGTACCTTGAAATTTCTCTAATATCCGTCAATTCGATTCAAGACCCTAAACCCTAGCCCAGTTCAACCTGTAAAAACCGAAAAGATAAAATAAATCTCAGGGTTTTCATGAACGAAATGGTTGCGCGTGAAGAGTGTAGAGTAGAAAGTAGTAGTTACAGTTGGCGCCGATTGCTCGAGAAACGCAAAGAGTCTCTCAACACAAGAGCAAGAGAGATAGAGAGATGCTAAATGCGAACTGAAAACAGAAGACGCAAAGCAACAACGGTGCTTAACAAGTGTATGCTGTGTTTATGTTTATATGTTTTTTTTTCTTCTTTTGTTCTCCGATTTTCTACCGAAAGTGAATGATACGACGCCGTTGGTGGTAATGCCATTTTTTCATATATTTTTTTTGGGAATTTACCATCCTAGAGTAAAACTGTAAAAATGTGCTTCTAATTGGTACCCGGCATAATTTTATGTGAATGAAGCTAATGGTTTTGTTATGCAGAAGCAGGGGAGGATTTTGTTACGTTACTCTTTTAGTTTCCTAACCATTCCTCTCTGGGTTTGCCTTAAAACATTTGCACAATAGCTCTTTGAAAGGATGAATCGACCATTTGCATAAGAGTGACCAGGATCTTGATGACCGAGCTTTATCACGGTTTTTGTTACGAGAACCGTCTATTAGGATTTAGGGATGGCCCTGTGGCCTCATATTTTTATGCAAGTTACAGGACAGAACCATATAAGCTCATATTTTTACTGACAGTCTGTTCGCTCTTTCTGTTGTTATGAATGAATTGAAGATGCCTTTCTGGCCTCGAGGAGCAAGTTGTGCATGTTGGCAAGGAGCATGTTAGTGTTTTCTAAATGCACTTGTACAGGTGATTAGGCAAAAATAAAAAATTGTTCAATTATTAATCTTCTGTTTTGTTACTCGCTGCAGGCTCTTGATCTTTTCGTGACCTCTTTTCTTTCTGACTCTGATCTCACCAGTGTCTTCCTTTGGCAGCCAAAGAAGGAACAATTGACAGCTACTTATTGTTTGATAGCCCCAAACAACAATTTGTCTATTGGTGCTCATGTTTTCAACAAATACATATCCTCCACTGTTTTTCACAAAAAGCTGTTTCCCTTTAAAGTTGAGCAGTAGAAAGTTTTTGGTACAAATAAAACAACTCGATCATTTCAAAAGCAATGGGCTTCCGACGATAGCTTTTAAAAACAGCCTCTTAATGTTCTTGATCTGTCATCCTATAGAAATCAGTTAGAGGAGAGTAAAAAAGAAAAGCAGCCACCAAAAGACTCATTTTATGTAAATGAAGCTAATGGTTTTGTTATGCAGAAGCAGGGGAGGATTTTGTTACGTTACTCCTTTAGTTTCCTAACCATTCCTCTTTGGTTTGCCTTAAAACATTTGCACAATAGCTCTTTGAAAGGATGCATAAGAGTGACCAGGATCTTGATGACCAAGCTTTATCACGGTTTTTGTTACGAGAACCGTCTATTTGGATTTAGGGATGGCCCTGTGGCCTCATATTTTTATGCAAGTTACAGGACAGAACCATATAAGCTCATATTTTTACCGACAGTCTGTTCGCTCTTTCTGTTGTTATGAATGAATTGAAGATGTCTTTCTCTGGTCCTGAGGAGCAGGTTGTGCATGTTGGCAAGGAGGATGTTAGTGTTTTCTAAACGCACCTATACAGGTGATTAGGCAAAAATAAAAAATTGTTCAATTATTAATCTTCTGTTTTGTTACTCGCTTCAGGCTCTTGATCTTTTCGTGACCTCTTTTCTTTCTGACTCTGATCTCACCAGTGTCTTCCTTTGGCAGCCAAAGAAGGAACAATTGACAGCTACTTATTGTTTGATAGCCCCAAACAACAATTTGTCTATTGGTGCTCATGTTTTCAACAAATACATATCCTCCACTGTTTTTCACAAAAAGCTGTTTCCCTTTAAAGTTGAGCAGTAGAAAGTTTTTGGTACAAATAAAACAACTCGATCATTTCAAAAGCAATGGGCTTCCGACGATAGCTTTTAAAAACAGCCTCTTAATGTTCTTGATCTGTCATCCTATAGAAATCAGTTAGAGGAGAGTAAAAAAGAAAAGCAGCCACCAAAAGACTCAAATCCTGCAGCAAAAACCATAAAAACATCAACAACTAAAAGAGAGGGGAAAAAAGGTCACAATACATAGAAAACAATGCCACCTTCTTCTGTTCAACTTCAACCCATCATAGTTGGACACCCCAAGTAGAAGTTCAGGTCTATGGAGAGTCAAATACAAACAATTTCAAAGACATTACAAATCTAAAATAAACCCAGAGTTCAAACAGTAAATCAGAAATTGCAAATCAAATACATAACTCACCTCCACCTTGCCAAGATTCATTGCACTTCAATGTCAGTGACAGGTAACTCCCCTCCACCTTACGATCAGGCTATCAGTTACCATGAACATTGCCGGAGCTCTTAAGAATCCTCCAACACAATCATCTTCAATATAGGGTGGTTTGGGGTCTACAAAAACTGGTTTCTCTGATTCATTAGAGTGAAAAGTGGCTCCCTCGATTCCTAAAGGATGGTTAGCATAGCTAAAACCAGGGGCTAGCTTGGAACTAAGTAAAATTGTTTTGTGGGAAGTTGACTTCAAGTATTGGCCATCAATATCTTCTACACTCTTGTACAAGTTATCAATGCATCCTTTCCAATTATGCAAGTTACAGGACAGAACCATATAAGCTCATATTTTTACTGACAGTCTGTTCGCTCTTTCTGTTGTTATGAATGAATTGAAGATGCCTTTCTGGCCTCGAGGAGCAAGTTGTGCATGTTGGCAAGGAGCATGTTAGTGTTTTCTAAATGCACTTGTACAGGTGATTAGGCAAAAATAAAAAATTGTTCAATTATTAATCTTCTGTTTTGTTACTCGCTGCAGGCTCTTGATCTTTTCGTGACCTCTTTTCTTTCTGACTCTGATCTCACCAGTGTCTTCCTTTGGCAGCCAAAGAAGGAACAATTGATAGCTACTTATTGTTTGATAGCCCCAAACAACAATTTGTCTACTGGTGCTCATGTTTTCAACAAATACATATCCTCCTCTGTTTTTCACAAAAAGCTGTTTCCCTTTAAAGTTGAGCAGTAGAAAGTTTTTGGTACAAATAAAACAACTCGATCATTTCAAAAGCAATGGGCTTCCGACGATAGCTTTTAAAAACAGCCTCTTAATGTTCTTGATCTGTCATCCTATAGAAATCAGTTAGAGGAGAGTAAAAAAGAAAAGCAGCCACCAAAAGACTCAAATCCTGCAGCAAAAACCATAAAAACATCAACAACTAAAAGAGAGGGGAAAAAAGGTCACAATACATAGAAAACAATGCCACCTTCTTCTGTTCAACTTCAACCCATCATAGTTGGACACCCCAAGTAGAAGTTCAGGTCTATGGAGAGTCAAATACAAACAATTTCAAAGACATTACAAATCTAAAATAAACCCAGAGTTCAAACAGTAAATCAGAAATTGCAAATCAAATACATAACTCACCTCCACCTTGCCAAGATTCATTGCACTTCAATGTCAGTGACAGGTAACTCCCCTCCACCTTACGATCAGGCTATCAGTTACCATGAACATTGCCGGAGCTCTTAAGAATCCTCCAACACAATCATCTTCAATATAGGGTGGTTTGGGGTCTACAAAAACTGGTTTCTCTGATTCATTAGAGTGAAAAGTGGCTCCCTCGATTCCTAAAGGATGGTTAGCATAGCTAAAACCAGGGGCTAGCTTGGAACTAAGTAAAATTGTTTTGTGGGAAGTTGACTTCAAGTATTGGCCATCAATATCTTCTACACTCTTGTACAAGTTATCAATGCATCCTTTCCAAGAAGAACCATCGCCTATCTGCTTCAGTACAAACCCAAGTGGAACAACAAGGAAACTGAAGAAAAAAAACTACAAAATCCTCCCCTGCTTCAGCATAGCAAACCTTCTTGGTTGACTAGCTAACTATAAGTGTAAAAGAAATGTTTGGATCACCATGCATGGTGTATTCTGCCACTTGAGAAATTATAGATATTCGATCACAAAATTCGTTGATCAATTGTGCTTCTGGTTTAGGCTTGAGCAGCATATCAGTAAAGGGCGTCTTAGGGACTAAAGAGCACAAAAGCAAGTTCACAACCTAGTAAAAGACAGAGATCAGAAACCAGTGTTGCAGTCCAAGAAAGGTTAGCATATACTAATATGTCATCACTAGAAATACCTCGTCAACACCTACATTGAAAGTCCTTTCCGCGGTAGCTTTTGGATCCACAACTCCAAGCTTGGAAAGAAAAGGAGAGTAAGTATAAGTCTGTCTTGCCGGTCTACAATCACCCCACCAACCTGACCACGATTTGCTGAAACATTGATCCCCTGATCCATCAGCTCACCACAATGGCAACAACCAACACTTGCATAATAACTAAAACTTTTCGTACAGAGGAGGCAACATGGATTATTGAAGAATTAACGTGTGGTCTCACAATCCTCAAATTCAATTTGAGCCTACTTAAAAAGGATTCAGCTGCATTGTGGGGGCACAGCAGCATGGCACAACACTCTTCAGTTTGCAAAATCTGTTCATCAATATCATGGACACTTTGATATAAATTGTTCATGCAACCGACTCCCATTGGAAGTGAATAACTACCGAAAAGCCTAACAATTTTTCCTCTAGGCATTGTCAATAGACTAAAGAGAACATCAATGAAATAATTATCTGACTCTATGAAGATAACTCTGCTACCGTCCTTTCAGAACCAAGAGACCAAGCTACAATTTAAAATATACCAAGCAGAGTACCCACAAATCAGTCAAAACAGCTCAACACTACAAGTAATTAATTTTAACAAAACAAAGGTACTCAGAGAAAACAGTTTGAATCACAACTTAAAAATATTAAAACAAAAAAGAATGTGTGGAGGGCAACTTACCTGACGATAGTTCAAGCTAGACTACCTCAAAACAAACCCAAATACAAAATCCTAATACCAAGAAAAGTCGCACTTGAAGAATTCAAGCATTCATATGCCATCTCATCTGAACAAGAAAAAATTCAACACCTTCTTCGCCACTCTACGAACTTGGAAAGCTAAATATTTTTACTGTTACGATTTCAACATTACCAAGGGGAAGCTGAAAACTTAGTGAAAAGATATAATGAGAAAAATCTTTCCATTAAAAGTTTAATTTGTCATATAGGTTATTTGAATCATCTTTCGTCATTCATAAAAAGAGTTTCAGACAAAAAAATATTTTTAAAGTTTAATTTGGTGTACAGAAAAAAATTTAAAACATATAATAAAACCATAATTTCATAAAGAATTTGAAAAGACGAAGATATTTCCACCACATATACATATAAGTAGGAACAAATTCCAACAAAAGCAGCTGAATAAGTGTACAAAGTAGACACGATGTTACCCACTTACTCGGGGAAAGAGAGGGTCAGCTGCAATAAGTAAAGTACAACTGTACAGAAAAATATAAGAGCAAGAGAGTTATGTTTGTAGAGTTCATGAACAACTAATATAATGATCAGCTAGCTAACCAATAGTTTCTCGCCAAGTGACAGCAGACCCATACTATTCTTTTGCATTGTCCGAAATACATTTGCTTGATGATCATGGTCAGCCGCCGAGAAGTGGTCCTCTTACTGGATTTCGGCGTTGTTGAAGCAGTGGCAGCCTCTTTCTCCGGTTCTTTGAGCTTGCCGCTGACTCGGACAGGTGGAGGCTCGTTCAAGGCAATCTGGTGTGGCAGATTGGGAAATTGAGCAAAGCCTTGGAGCCATGTATGCGGTAGGCGGCTCTGTCATAAGCCAAAGCCGCTTCCTCAGAGGTCTCGTAGCACCCAAGCCACACTCTGTTTCTGGATACCTTCTTAGCTGGGTCCCGAATCTCAGCCGTGAACTTCCCCAACCGCCTCTGCCTCACCCCTCTATAATGCCTCCCTCTTGCCACCCCCAACTTTCGTACCTTATTTTGATCAGCCGCATTCAACATTGATTGACTTACAGACTCTCCATTTTCAAGTGCATGTATATCTGGAATCTCCTTGGAAGATGTATCACCATGATTAGTTTTATCTTCACCAGTAGGTTTATACTCATTATCAATGGACTTCATATCCATCTCAGATTTCACAGTTTTAACCTCGGCATCACCTACCACAGCAGATGCTGTACCCACATCATGTGTAACATTTTTAGCAATTTGCTGAGCTGATGACTCAGATTCTTGCTCAGCATGCCTCTCAGACGTAGTTGGTCTCGAGTTCGCTCCAGATTGCACTAGGTTCTTTGTTCTGACCATATTGCTCTGATTTGTAGATGGAAGATTTACAGCAGGATGCACTGGCCTCAAGTGAAGACCTCCAGTGGTTTGTACAGAGGTCTGAGATTGTACTCCATGAATTGGCATCATAGGCCTTCCACTTCCGCCAATATTAGACTGGCTAAGTTGAATGCCCTGAGACAATGCAATGTTCCGCTGAGACTGCGTATAGGCATGAACATGTAGAGGGAATGAATGAGATTGACCCCGGGGATGTAACTGTGTAGGTGGTTGCTGTTGTACATAGGGCCGATGGTGACGAGGAATCGATCGTTGAACTGCATGCATAAGAGGGCGTTGTTGAACAGTATTCCCAGGTTGCTGAGCATAAGAGTGAACCAGCTGCTGTTTTGCAGGATTAATGTTTCGGATTTGACCAGGAAAAGGCAACAAAGCTGGCTGCTGCTGGTTTGGAATATGAGATGGGGGCAGCCGCATGACTGGGGGTTGTTGAGGGGATTGACTCTGTATTTGAACAGGAGTTCGTGACTGAGAGTGAGGTACACCATGAGATTGCATGTCCGTAGTATGTTGTTGTGGGGCGCCTGACTGCACTGGTTGGTGAAGGTGAGGTTGAGGGTACAAGTGATTACCAGTCACTGCATGAGATGATGGATGTTGTGTCTGAGGCTGGACGGTAGTATTCATGGACTGAGAAGGGTGAAGTTGGGGATGGGGCTGGGGATGCTGTTGAAGCTGTGCTTGTGGCTGTGGCTGAGGTTGTGAATGAGGTTGGGGTTGAGAAATGGGATGGTGTTGCGGGTGAATCTGGGAGTGGGTATGTTGCTGAATTTGGGCCTGCTGATTATGAGGCATTTGCACATGCTGAGGATGTGGTTGTGAATGGGATGGAGCTTGGAAATATTGTAGAGATTGAGGGAGTGGCTGCCTACGAGCAGCTGGATAAGTCTGCACTGCAGGGTGAAGTTGCTGCTGTTTGTTCACTTGTGCCTGATTTTGAGTTTGAGCGGCAACAGGAACCTGCACATGTGGGGGCTGAATTTGGGGTTGGGGTTGAGATTGAGATTGAGATAGTTGGGCCCGTAGTGAAGGTTGAGTTTGGGGCTGAGATTGCAAGTATGCCCGAGGTTGATGCTGGACTGTCCTGTATGGTAAATGAGATTGCAAATGCCGCTGCTGTGATTGTTGAACTGCTGCCTGTTGATAGGTAAAGTAGTTCTGCCGGTAGTACTGTTGATATTGTTGCTGATGTTGGTACCACTGTTCAGCAGTTGGCACAGCAGCTTGAACAACAGCTTGAGAACTAGAGTTTGCTTTCTGATCTGGATCAGATCCAGGTGGAGTGACACTTGAAATTTGAAAAACCTGGGCCTGAGACTTCGCTACTCCTGACTGAGTGGCAGCCTGGGTCTGATCAGCAGTAGCTGATGTGCCAGAAGCTGAAGTGTCCAAAGCACCATCAGTCTGCTGCGCTTGAGGCTGCACACCCTGTCATTAAAAGATAACCATTAAATCATTTCTAAATTCCAGATAGTAACTTATCATCTTGTAAGAAAAAAAAAATACTCACAGGGCAATTTTGAGCATGCTCCTGCACCTGACGATGCACAATTTGGATTCCACACCTGTTGCATCCTACAGAAGAATTGCCAAAGGCACATCCAGAGGTCCCTGCCATGTGCATCCACTCCTGTGCTAGAGGCAATGATCTGCTATTTTTCCTACGGTTTCAGGGGGGGTCTTATTCGGTTCAACAAGTAGCTGCATTGATTAGTTACAGTAAACTTGTATCCATAAGCAGATAATAAAGATCAAAGATATTTGTTACGACCAAGGTTGTAAAGGAAGGACCTTGGCATCGGCTTCTGTCACTAAGTAGCTGTCATTTGGGAACTGTCAGGTAGGGCTCACAACGAATGTCAAACATGGCTTCTAGTATAGATGAGTGCACTGTCACTGCAATGCTTCATCGGGTAGACAAGCAGACTACAAACCAGACAAAAGTACTCTCCGGCAAGAGATTGGATATTCAATACGCATTCATTATCAAATCCCATGCTGCTCTACAAGCTCAGCTTCAGGTCCTAGTGCATAAATTTTATCAACCTGAATGAGAACAGAAATTGTGAGCCCCTTTGTGAACATAAAGAAACAAACTATCTTCCATCAACATTTATGACATATTGGCCTCAAAGCAACACCTCGTCTTTTTTTCCCTCAAGCAACAGGTAAAGGGCCTTACCCAGTTCAAAATCATACAACAAATCCTCATGCAAATCTAATGACCCAGCGCATAGAAGCAATTACCCATTTTTACAAACAAAACAAGAAAGCTGGGAGGTGCACAAAGATATGCAAGTGAATAGTCAGACATGCAAGTACAGTGTGTACCCAATCACTGCATTAGGCATTTAGTAATAATCAGCAAAATGGTATCGAAAAGAAAAACCCAAACTTAAGCGTACCAAAACACCGGACCGAAAAAGATCAATCAAAATCAGTGCTTTTGTGCGGCTTCCACTTTCATAAGCCCGAAGTTATTAAATTTAAGAATCGTATATATAAAAAGAACATTAAACTTTCCTTCCCAAATCCCCAATTCCCACAATTTCTCAGCAGCCAAACATTACAATAGGTAAACCAAAAAAGATATAATTTTGGTACCTGGAAATTCCCTATTATCCGTCAATTCGATTCAAGACCCTAAACCCTACCCCGATTCCCACACTTTCTCAGCACAGTAGGGTTTTCATGAACGAAATGGTTGTGCGTGAAGTGTGTAGAGTAAAAAGTAGTAGTTACAGTTGGCGCGGATTGCTCCAGAAACCCAAAGAGTCTCTCCGCACAAGAGAGAGAGAGAGAGAGAGAGAGAGAGAGAGAGCAAGAGAGCAAGAGAGCAAGAGAGAGAGAGAGATGCTAAATGCAAACGAAAACAGAAGACGCAGAGCAGCAACTGTGCTTAACAAGCGTATGTATGTACTTGAGTGCTTGTTGCTTTTCTTGTTCTTTTTTTCTTGTTTTGTTCTCTGATTTTCCGCCGAAAGTGAATGATACTGTAAAAATGAATGATGTGGGAAATGTTACTCTTTTTTATCACAAATGGTCCTTCACGTTTACGAAATTATCACGAATGGTCCTTGAGGTTTTTTTGTGACACTAATAGTCCTTAAGACACACAGCCCGCAGTAAGAAACACAAAAACATCAACAATAAACAGAGGGAAAAAAAAGAGAAAAAAAGATCACAACATATAGAAAACCATGACACCTTCAACTGTTCAGCTTCAACAACCCATATCACAGTTGGGCACCCAAGTAGAAGTTCAGATTTATCAAGAGTCAAACGCAAACAATTTCAAAGACATTACAAATCTAAAATAAACAAAGAGTTCAAACAGTAAATCAGAAATTGCTAATCAAATATGTAACTCACCTCCACCTTGCCAAGATTCATAGTTTGCATTTCAATGTCAGTGACAGGTACACTCAATTGGTTCAGAATGGAGAGGCCAAAGATTGGCAATAATGATCTTACGACCAGGCAAGTTCACAACCTAGCAGAAGACAGAGATCAGAAACCAATTTTGCAGTCCTAAAAAGATTAGAATATAATAATATTAAAAACTAGAATTACCTCATCAGCACCTACATTGAAAGTCAGCGCCTCAGTAGCTTTTGGATCCAAGACTCCAAGCCTGGAAAGAAAAGGAGAGTATTCAGATGTAAATAGAGGCATCACTTGTAACTCATCACTAACTATAAATCTGTCTAGCCGGTCTTCGAACACCCCACCAACTCGACCACGATTTGGTGTAACAATTGATCCCCAGATCCATCAGCTCACCACAATGGCAACAACGAACACTTGCATAATAACTCAAACTTGTCGCATCGACTATAGGGGAGGCAACACGAATTATCGCAGAAGAAGTACAGTGGCATCTCACAATCATCAATGTCCAATTTGAGGCTACTTAAAAAGGATTCAGCTGCATTACAGGGACACAGCAGCATGGCACGACACTCTTCAGTTCACAAAAGCTGTACATCAATATCCTTGACACTTCGATATAAATTGTTCATGCAACCGACTCCCATTGGAAGTGAATGACTACGAGAAAACCTTTCCCATATGCGTTGTCAATAAACTAAAGAGAACATCAACAAAATAATTATCTGACTCTATGAAGATAACTCTGTTACTGTCCTTGTGCACCAATGCCTTCAAGCTAAAAGTGTTGTCAAATTTAGCAGCCATGGACTAGTTCAGCTCAGAACCAAGAGACCAAGCTACAATTTAACATATACCAAGCAGAATACCCCGCAAATCAGTCAAAACAGCTCAACACTACAAGTAATTAATTTTAATAAAACAAAAAGGTACGTACCACAAGAAAACATCACAACTTGAAACTATTAAAAGGAAAAGAATCTATATATATGGAGGGCAACTTACCAGAAGATAGTTCAAGCTAGACTACCCTCAAAGAAAACCCATATATATTTTTCTTTTCTTAATTAGCACTGAAGCCTTGTGTCTGATCTCCGTCTCTTTGTCAGGTTTTTGATTTGCTTATCTGCTCATTAGTATCAAAGACACCTCTGACTGATATTCTTCTGAAGAATAAATCTGTATTGTATTTGACCAACGTCGTTCGCGACCAAAAGATCAATGTAAATTCCTGTTTGGTTGGTGACACCAGGAACTAGGATGAAGCAAACATATCTTTGAAGCTTATAGTTAGCAGAATTACTATAACCAGAATCTTATAGTTAGCAGAATTACTATAAACATATCTTTGAAGCAAACATATTAATTGTACAAGAGTATCCAGAATCTTGATGAACAGCACTTAAAGTCGGATTACTACCACAAAATGCTACTCGATCCAAAGGTTTCCCCTGGTATTTGCTATGAGAGCCATCCTCTAGGAATTAGGGAGGCCCCATTTCATTGTCTTTTGGATATATTCGGCGATATCTCGTGGATCAGCACTTGTAGATGGAGCCAAAGTTAAAGCCAAATTTGTGGACCCAAAATCTCTCAATGATGCAGATGGTAGTGCTCGAGGATTCTTGAAACGACGGGAAATGTTCATGGTAGAGGACAGTCTCATTGTGAGACCAGTATCTCCAATCCTTGGTGTGTCTGTTCTGAACCAACTGAGTGTTCCTTTCAATGATATTGAGGTGCGAGTGGTGAATGTGGGCAAGCAAGAGGTGAGTTATTTCATTTTGTGACTTGTAGTTTTTCTAGTATGTTGTTAAAACAATTGTTTCTTAATCTCAAATTTTGTTTAGACAAACACACACACATATTATTGTGAAATTGTTTTCTGTTTTCATATTTGTGATGTTTTAATTGTCTTTGCACTGCAGGCATTTCGTCTTTTGGTTGCTTCTTTTGTTACCGACTCTGCTCTAACCAGTGTTTTCCTGAGGTAGCCAAAGCAAGAACAATGAGGATCAGGATACATGCCTTGGTTTACCTAAATTTTTACTGGCTGATATGATATCCCTGCTAAATCCAGCTTGTAAAATGGCCAAAGTTATGCTTTTAATTTGAACCCATTCTGAGGAAGCTTATATGAAACTGTAATGGCATTACATTTTCTTAATTATATTATCTTTAGGCTTTTCATTGAATCTTATATATTATTTTATATAAAGATTTTCTTTAAAAAGATTGTACACCTAATTTTTCTTTTATTGTAATGCGATGTATCAACATTCTAGATTCTACCCATTAATTCAATCTGGTAAATTGCTCCAGATGGCGTTATTCAAATGAATATCCCAAAGTGGTGTTAAAATACTTAAAATTGAAAACGCATTCAACCCCATAAAAGTGTATGTAAAACTAGACCTAGAGAAAGAAGGATTTATAATGTGCTTTACAAAACTAGACTGCTCAACCAGCATGGTTACACTTATTAGTTTCCAATAGATCCTCGCTGTTCCTGTTTTATCTTCTAAGGAAGACACTGGTTAGAGCAGCAGATTCACAACCAAAAGAAGCCACCAAAAGACCAAAAGCCTGCATTAACAAACACAACCAAATTATCAAACATCATACGAGATTTAACTATCAAAATATACTTTCTTTCACCAGAAACTTGGACAACTGAGGAAATCATAACTTATAAATCATAACTCTCACCTCCTCCACGCCCACATGCACTGTTTGCACTTCAACATCAGTGATAGGCACATTCATATCATTCAGAACAGACAGGCCAAGGATCGGAGATATCGAGCTTACAACAAGACTGTCAGTTACCATAAACATGGCAGGTCCTTTTAAGAAACCTAGACTTGAGTCTTCGTCTTCATCCTCATAATACTGTGATAAGGGGTCCACAATCTCGGCTTGATCACCAAGAACATTTGAGGCCTCTTCAATTCCTAAAGGATGGTTCTGGTAACAAAATCCAGGGGAAGGCTTGGGCCTAACTACCAGTTCCTTGCGTGTATCAGACTTCCATAATCGCCCATCAAGATTCTTGACACTTTTGTACAAGCGATCAATGCATCCTTTCAAGCAAACATCACGCGCTGCTTTTAATATAAAACCAAGTGGAAGCATTAGGAAGCTGAAAAGTAAGTTAACAAAATCCTCCCCGGCTTCTGCGTAACAAACCACATTCTTAGATTTGCTAACTATAAGCTTCACAAAAATTTCATTAGCTTCCCAATACATGTTGCGCGCCTCTTCTATCATTTGAGAATTTATACTAATTTGTTGAGTGCCAATGTTCTTGTTAAACATTGATCGTGGTCTACGCTTCATAAAAATATCGGTCAGGGGTGTCTTTGATATGAATGAGCACATAAGTAAATTCAAAACCTGGAAAGGAGAGACGAAATTTGTAAAGATCAGAAAACAAAATTGCAATTTGAAGAAGAAAAAGAAGATATTGGAATATTCTTACCTCATCAGCTCCAATATCCAAACTCAACTCTTCAATAGTATTTGAATCCATGGCTCCAGCCTTCTTTAACAAAGAAGAGCTTACTGAAGTTTCTGGGGGCAGGACTTGCAAATCATCACTAATTATTAGTCTCACTGGTCCTTTTACAAACACCTCATGACCAGCTTTAGCATAAACATCGACTGCGGTGTTCATTAGATTTCCACAACGACAAGGAACGGTATTGTAATAACTAAGCCTAGTTGGAGTGCAACAAGGAACATTAGAGCACCTAAAGAACCGTGTGTTATCACAATCATCAATGTTCATTTCGAGGTTCTCCACAATCGGTCCAGCTCCATTTCGTGGACATAGCAACATGTCCCAACAATTAGTCCGAAAATGCTGCACATCAATATCCTTAACACTTGCATACAAATTCTTCATGCAACCTATTCCCAGTGGTGCAGAATGATTGCGAGCAAGCTTGATAATTGTTCCCATGGGGAGTGTCAAGAAACTGATGAGAACATCTATGAATTCATGACCAGACTCTATGAAGATAACTCTGTTGCTCCCTTTATTCACCAAGGCCTTCAAGCTGATATTGTTCAAAGATTCATCCGCCATGGATTGCAAGAACTTGGCTTTGGCCTGCTTCCACTATTATCACAAATTAACAAGGAGAACAATTTTCACAAAACCAATGTAAGCCCATCAGATAATAGAAATCATAAAAAGCTTTTTAAAAAAATTTCCACAACTTAACAAACATAACTTCTCAACAGTACAAAACATGTACTTAGATTAATCAAGCAGTGACAGCCACTACAATTACACCTGCATTTTGCTTTCAGTTACTTGCAGGCATTAATTTCGAACTCATGTAACACTAATTCTTAATAATAATAAAAACTATTTGAACAGAACAGAAAATAAGTGTTTCTTACCTTCAATGGTCTTGTCCAAGGCACCAAACACAAAAGCCTTCAGCCGTACCTGCTCAAATATCACAAGCAAAAGCTGGATTAATTACCTAGAAAAGTTACACAACAAAAACCCATTCGGGTTTCGGGAGCGTACCAAACGAAAGTTTGCTCTTTTCCAACAAGGATTCTGAAAGCTAGAATTAAATATATAAAATAAAATAAAAACTTCGTTTTGAGAACAAGGTCAACTGAAGGGGGCAGGACCTTGAGGAGGCAGCGATTGTGATGATGCCGTTTATTGCAAGCAAGGAGCAGAGAAGAGCAGTATTGACTCTTGAGCAAGGAGCAGAGCAGAGCTTTATAGCCAAAGACACGCCACGCGATAAACCCTAAAGCCAAAACATTCAAACGGGGGTTTGCATCTTGTATGAGATTGGAAGTTTACTTGGACATATATATTTTTTTTAGAAGTTTACTTGGACTTAAAGACTCAAAAGTTAAAATATGTTCCACATAAGGTTTTAAGTCCATGCAAATTTTAACATGTGTTGTGAATATAGAATTATTTTTTACTGAACTTATACTATATCGTAAAATTATGTCAAACTAGCATTTGATCTAGTATAAGTTCGATATCTAATTGTGAGTGGCTAGTCTCAGGTTGTAGTTGTATTGGCCAACATTATGTGGTTTTTTAATATGAAAATTGATTCGTCAATCACGAACGATCCACATTGAGCAACCATGGTAGTTGTTACATTTTTGCTCACCCTCCTTAATTGAAGTATAGCCTACGTGTCGTTGCATTATTGGTCGGAAATAGCAAAAAGTGTTATCTCCGCTGCATGAGAGTGTTTCTCCATGCCATCACCCCCTATTATACACTCTTCCAAACAAATAAGAGTTTAGATCTACTTCTCGTTACATTCACCTAGTAATTCTGCATAAGTTGATAAATGATTAGAAGAGAAGAGTAATTTTGAGGACATTTTCTATTGAGAGAAGCTATAACATATTAAACTTACACACACACTATACCATTACTCCAAACCACTACACTAGCGGGTCATTTGCAAGAATAGTAATTTAAATAGAAAGATAATCAACACTTACTGTTAGACTTACCAGTGCACCACCTGCCAACTGACTGTGGTGCATTGGTTCCAACAACACTTGGGCACGTGGCATACGAAAGGTACAAACTTTTTTCCTTTACAACAAACATCCCGCGCAATCTTGTGTTTTAGGGTTAACAGTGTGCTTTTGGGTTTGGGTATAAAGCTCTGTTCCTCTTCTTGTTCAAACCCTTCATATCTGTAGCTCGTTTCTTTCTACACTGTTCTCTGGTCATCTACCACTACCTTACATTTGGTAGAGGAACAGTTTGCACCTAGTAAAAAGTCCAAAGTTACAATCTTTCCAACAGTACCCGAAATCCCACACCCCCTTCACTTGATATTCCCCTAAAAATGAAACCTTTCTCTTATTGTAACTTTCGGAAGCTGAAATGCTTGTTGGGAAAGAGTAAAGCTCTCGTTTGGTAAGCTCTCACAAGTTCCCAACCCAATGGGTGTTTGCCTTATTTGGGTTTGTGGTTCTCGTTGTCTTATAATGTGTTTAGAACAATGGCTTTTAGGAGTAATTTTCTGGGTTCATATCCTGTGTATGCATGTCAGATTTATTTGAGGAGGTTGAAGGATTTGGTTTTGGGGTTTTGGAAAGAGGACCATCGGAGGTAAGAACCTCTTCTTCTCATTACACTCGGTTCCATTTGTTTTTTAAGTTGTGGATTATATTTTGGATTTTATTATTATTTATGATTCTTGATGGGTTTGTGCTATGGGATGATGTTATTTTCACATTGGTTTTTCTGAACTGTTTTCCTTTTTTATTATTTGTAATAGTTGATTATTTGATTTATGTTATTATCACAAATGATTTGACTTTAGAAGATGGGTTGAATCCCAAAAGCAGCCAAGTTGATAATATCTGCTCTTGACTGCTAAAGAAGGTTATTTGTTCGATTTTCAATCTCATGAAATTCATAACTAAATGTATAGCTCAGTATCCGAGTGTGCTTTTATCTTTTAAAATAACATATTTTTCCTTTTTAAGAAAAAATGTTATAGATTTGTATCACATTTGTATTGTTTTAACTATTAATGTCGCAAAATTCATATATTTCCTGTAATTTCTTTGTATTTTGACACTTTTTTCATGTTACCAGAGAAACAACTTAACAATAGTGTGTGCTACTGGGGCCTTAATCAGAAGCATTTATCTTTCAACAATTATCTGTGCCCTGATTTGGACAAAAAGAGGAAGTCAAAGCCGAAGTTATACTCTGTTACAATCCATGGCTGAGACATCTGCGAACACCATTAGCTTGAAAGCCTTGGTGGATAAGGCGAGCAACCAAATTATCTTTATAGAGTCCGATAATGATTTTATTGATGTTCTCTTCAGTTTCTTGACAATCCCCATGGGAACAATTATGAGGCTGGCCCCTAATCAGTCAGTACCATTAGAAATAGGTTGTATAAAAAATTTGTATTCAAGTGTTAAGAATATGGATGTAAAGCATTTCCGTACTGAAGCATGTAGAGACATGCTGCTATGTCCTCGCAATGTGGCAGAATCTCATTGCAGGAACCTCAAACTGAAGATTGACAATGGTGAGCCCACACAGTATTTTTTGTGTTCACGTAACTACAGAGCAGAATGTAAGTTAAGTTATAACAAAATTGGTTCTTGTGATTGTGGAGGAAGCATGACTGAGGAGAAAAGTCTTTTAGTGAATCTAGATGGAGGCATCTTTGTGAAAGGACTGGCCAGACTTATAATTGGTGATAATTTACAAGTGATGCCACCATTAACTTTGGAAGGCCTTTCTGTATTTACAGAGCTTGGAGTCAGGAATGGGAATACTACTGAGGAGTTGACTTTCAATGTAGGATCTGATGAGGTAATTGAAGTATTGACTTGTGGATTTTTTTTCTTACAACTTTATCATTGATTCTAACTTGACTTCTGCTTTTAGGTTTTGAATTTGCTTATGTGCTCGTTAGTATCAAGGACACCTTTGACAGAAACTCTGCTGAAGAATAAACCAATACGAAAGTTGAGCAATGACAACCAAGGAATAAATATTGAACCTCAAATAGTTGTAGATGCAACAGATCCGGAAGGAAACCTCTCTATCAAGCTTATAGTGAGCAAATCTAAGAAGATGGTTTGTTATGCAGAAGTAGGAGAGGATTTTGTGAATTTACTCTTCAGTTTCTTAACTATTCCACTGGGTTTTGTTGTAAAACAAATGAGGGATTGCGCATTAAAAGGATGCATTAATCAGTTGTTCAAGAGTGTCCAAGATCTTGATGATTGCTACTTGAAGTCAGACTACCACAAAGAAATGCTACTCAGTCCCAAGCTTGTTCCCGGCTTTTGCTATGAGAACCATCTCTTAGGAACTGAGGAGGCCACATATTATTATGCACTTGGTATGCTGTCTACTGATAAAACTCTTATCGCTTCTCATATTTCAGCTGCTAAGAAAACTAGGAGGTCATATTATAGCGAAGAAAGTGCTCAGACTAGTATTAAGTTAGTGACAGTCATGGATCCCAAATCCCACAATGATAAAGATAAAAATGCTCAAGGTCAAGGATTTTTAGGAGGACCAGCAATGTTCACAGTAACTGACAATTTGATCATAAGACCTATATCTCTAATGTTTGGTCTGTCTCTTCTGAATGAACTGAAGGTGCCTTTGACTGACATTGAAGTGAAAATTGTGCATGTGCGCAGAGAAGAGGTGAGCCATCAATTATAATTTTCGATGAACTTTAAGCTTAATTTTCACTGCAACCCTCCATTGCTGTCCTTCTGCCACTTCAACTTGACTGCACATACAGCGATTCCATCTCTCGTGCTGATGCTTCAAGTTGTTGAGTAAAACCCATGGCACAAAGATTCATGAACTTGTACACTATCCTTATACAAGTTATTGACTGCACACACAACATTCTCACATCTCACCTATTTCATGCCCACACCTCCCCTTTTCTTTTATGCAAACAAAACATGGAAGCATTGAATCCTTTTATAGTACTGTAAGTTGATTAGATAGCTGGCTTCAATGGCATCGTGGAAGTTGTCATATTGCAACAGGGAACAAATATTTCGCCAGAGTCTATTGGCTCTCCAACAAAGGTTCTCTAAACTGAGTGGCTATCTCTAGATAGGGGTTATCTGTTGTTTAAATTGTTGATGACTCTTGAATATGTTCCTTCTTACAGGCTTTGCGTCTTTTGGTGGCTTCTTTTGTTTGTGACTCGGCACTAACCAATGCCTTCATCAGGGAGACGAAGCAGAACAAAAAGCCAAAGCAAGAACAATGTTGAGGGCTTGATTATATATAGATGTTGTTACAAAATGGAAGTCCAGTATGCATTTTGGTGTTAGAATACTTGTTTTGTTCACTTGTACTTGCTATGTGATCTGCATGGAGTGTTGCTATTAGCGTACGGATATGAATTCTGATATGCTGAAGAAAAAGATGTAGATAGCCAGCATGAAACAAATTGATATATGTAATGTTTGACGTGACAGTTTGCTTTATATTAGTAGTTCATATAAAATATTAAGTTTGTAAAAGCTAAATTGGTGGGAGGGATCATGATAACGTATATGTACATGCATGCAAGAGTCATGGTCTTCTTTTTATTATACATTATTTAGCTGAGTCTCTCTCTGTTCCTGAGTCATTGTATTTCCAATACCTTGGTACATTTCTGCAGCAGTTTAGTTTGCCGTAGGCGTGGGAATTTCTTTCAAATGGTATCAATATGTGGAATTGTTTGTCTTTCCAATTCTTTATCGAGTTATAATTTTATTTTATTTGATTTCAAAACTAATCTCCATAATTTATTAATATTTTTGCAATTGAATTAGTTTCTGACGTAGGGAGTTGTCATCCCGAACAAATAATTTTGGTTTCTTTATCAACAAATTATGTCTTGGTTTTTCTAAACGACTAATTTATTTCATGGGATTCGTTCTATATTTCTTCTTCCAAAATGGATCACAATTACCTATAAATTAAATTTAATGAAATTTATTACTGAATTCTTTTCATCCTCCAAAGATACTGCTATAAATAAAGTCTTCGTAGGGAAGCCTGTGATCACAAGAGGTAAAGAGAGGAAAGTGGAGTTTTTATGTCTTCATTTATTTCTCACACCAGACACCACTGATGGCTGCTAATTTTAAGGGCAGCATCACCCTGAAGGCCCTGGTGAACAAGGACAGATACAAAGTCATCTTCGCTAGGTTGATTTTATCAATGTACTCTTTAGTTTCTTGACAATCCCCATGGGAACACTTATCGGACTTGGTCGTAGCCATCCTGTTCCAAATGGAATAGGTGCTAAAATATGAATACGGTTTGTATAATATTTGGTTCAAATTGAGTTTTTGTTTGATTTTAGTTTGTTTGATTTGGGTTTAATCGGGCCCAATCAACTTAGTTACAATGGAAATAACATTGTTTTGCTATTCTCGTCTAATAATGCTATGCCACGCATGTCATAGAAGTCTTTCTCGTCGCAATGGGACTGGGACCCTAAATTTCTTCCTAGTTAAGCATATCGTACGTTTAATACATAGCTTTCTATAATATAAAAGCTAAAGCCAAAATGGTGGCCAATAACATGCACCTCTTTACTACTCCACCCAAGTGAACTTTGCTTTACTACTATATGTTGTTTAGACTCATGATCTTCTTCCACTTATATTACTTTAGCTGACCCTTTCTCTTTTAAGTCTTGGTGTGCTTTCATGACCAGAACTTATTTTATAAACTGATTTTTAAAATTTTTTAAGTATGAAACTAGAAATAGTAAACTAGCAAAATGAAAGGATACAATTACGATAGAAATTAAAATAATAATTCAATCAAATACAGTCAAAGAAATAATAAAGGTATATGATAATTAGTGATGAGTATGGTGAGTAGTGATGGAGATAATTGGTGGCATGTAACAGTGTCTACGTAATGATTCTTTTGCATAAATGAACTGTGAGATTAACTTTTAAATATGTTAGGGACAATTTTGAGATAAAGTTTGAGCGACCAAATTTAATGGAATTTGTGTTCTTATCTTTTTCTTTATCTTTTCTTCGGTTACAAGTGTGTGTTCTTTTTCATCGTCTACAAGATTTACCCATAAGCAATACCCTCATTTTTGACAGCGCACAACTAAATCCTTGGCTCTTGGGAAAGTAAGTTGTAGTCTCTCATATCAGCAAAAACAATTTTCATATTTCAGAGGTTAGTGAACTTCCTTGATCGGTGAGTGTTCCTGATTATTTAGATTACCTCGATTTTCTTACAATTTATTTGCAATGTTGAGACTGATTTATGTATAAACATCTGGATCTGGTAGAGTTGATTATAGTTTGAATCTGGAATAATTTTTTAGTTTCTGCCATTTGCTATTGGATTTGAATATAGAGAAGATTTTATCCAAGTTTTTTTTTTTCTTACAGTCCATGGCCGATAAATCTATGGACAATATTGAGTTGAAGGTCTTGGTGAACAACGTGAGCAACAAAGTGATCTTTGTAGAGTCTGATGATGATTTTATTGATGTTCTCTTCAGTTTCTTGACAGTCCCCATGGGAACAGTTATTAGGCTTTCCCATCGTTCACAACCCTTGGGAATTGGTTGCATGGACAACATATATGGAAGTGTGGAGAGTTTTGACTCACAGCTTTTCCGAACTGAAGAATGTAGAGCCATGCTGTTACGTCCCCGCAATAGGACAGAATATTTGTTGGACAACCTCAAACTGAAATTTGATGATTGCGAACCCACGCGGTACTTTACGTGTTCTAATCCACATTGCAGAATTTTTCGGAACAGTCTTGTTTTTAGTTATTACCAAACGGTTCGTTGTCCTCGTTGTGAGCGTCTAATGGACACGGAGACCACCCTTCCAGTGTCTGGTGCTGAAGATGGTGAGGTCTTTGTAAAAGGTCCAGCCAGATTTATAATTAGTGATGATTTACAAGTGATGCCCCCATTTACTTCTACAAGCTCTTCTTTAGTTAAGAACCTCGGATTCACGGGATGGAATAGCATTGAGGAGTAGACAGTCAATGTACGAGTTGATGAGGTAAATGATCTGTTATACCACCGAAGTTAATTTTCTAGTAAGAAATGAAATGCTAGTTTCTGATGATCTTTTCACTTTCTTCAGGTTTTGAAGTTGCTTATGTGCTCATTAGTATCAAAGATGCCTTTGACTGAAACTCTGCTGAAGCATGAACCCCTCCCAGAATTGAGCAATGAAAATTTTGATCAAGAAATATATGTTGAATCTCGAATGTTAGGAGACGCCACGAATGAGGAAGAAGAAAAGATTTCTATTAAGCTCATAGTAAGCAAATCTGGGAAGACGGTTTGTTATGCAGAAGCAGGGGAGGAGTTTGTCAATTTACTCTTCAGTTTCTTGACTCTTCCACTCGGGTTTATTGTGAAACAGATGCAGGATAACTCTATGAAAGGATGCATTGGTCAGTTGTACAAACGTGTCCAGGATCTTGATGAGCAGTGCTTGAAGTCAAATAACCATAAGAAAATGCTAGTGAGT